TAGTGTGGTGGTTGGTGGTGGTTGTTGTGGTGGTTGTGGTGGTTGTGGTGGTGGTGGTGGAGAAGGTGTGGTGGCGTGTGGTTGTGGTGGTAGTTGTGGTGGTGGGTTGTGGTGGTGGTGTTGGTGGCGGTGGTGGTGTGGTGGTTTGACCTGGTGGTTGTGGTGGTGGTGCGAGGTAGGTTGAGGTGGTGGTAGTGGTGTTTCGTTGTGATGGTTGTGGTGCTGGGTGGTGGTGGTGGTGGTGATGGTGATGGTGGTGGTTTGGTGGTTTGTGGTGGTGGTGGTGGGTTGTGGTGGTGGTAGTGGTGGCGGTGGTGGTGGTCGTGGATGTGGTGTGGGGGTTTGTTGTGGTGGTGGTGGTTGTGGTGGTGGTGGGATGTGGTGGTGGTCGTGGTGGTCGGTTGTGGTGGTGGAGGTGGTGGTGTGGTGGCGTGTGGTGGTGGTGGTGGTAGTTGTGGTGGTGGGTTGTGGTTGTGGCGGTGGTGGTGGAGGTGGTGGTGGTGGTGTAGTGGTTTGTGGTGGTGGTTGTGGTGGTGGTAGTGGTTGTGGCGCGAGGTAGGTTGTTGTGGTGGAAGTGGTGGTGGTGGGTGGTTGTGGTGGTGGTGGTGGTGTGGTGTTTTGTTCTGGTGGTTGTAGTGGTGGGTGGTGGTGGTGGTGGTGGGGTGATGGTGGTGGTGTGGTGGTGGGTTGTGGTGGTGCTGGTGGAGGTGCTGGTGGTGGTGGTAGTGGTGGTGGTGGTGGTGGTGGTGGTCGTGGTTGTGGTATGGTGCTTTCTTGTGGTGATGGTGGTTGTGGTGGTTGTGGTGTTGGTGGGATGTGGTGGTGGTCGTGGTGATGGGTTGTAGTGGTGGTGGTTTGTGGTGGTGGTGGTTGTGTGGTGGTGGTGGTGGTGGTGGTGGTTGTGTGTTGGTGTTTTGGTGGTTCACGACGTGTGGTGGGATGTGGCGGTGGTGGTTTGTGGTGGTGATGGTAGTGGTTGTAGTTGTGGCGGTGGTGGTGGTGGTGGATTGTGGTTGTGGAGGTATTGGTGGTGGGATGTGGTGGTGGTGGTGGTGGTGGAAGTGGTGGTGGGTGGTTGTGGTGGTGGTAGTGGTGGCGGTGGTGGTGGTTGTGTGGTGGTTTGTGGTGGTGGTGGTGGTTTGTGGGTTGTGGTGGTGGTGATTGTGGCGGTGGTGGTGGTGGTGTGGTGATTTGTGGTGGTAGTTGTAGTGGTGGTGGTGGTGGTGGAGGTGCTGGTGGAGGTGCTGGTGCTGGTGGTCGTGGTGGTGGGTGGTTGTGGTGGTGACGGTGGTGGTTGTGGTGGCGGTGGTGTGGTAGTTTGTGATGGTGGTGGTGGGTTGTGGTGGTGGTGGGTTGTGGTGGCGGCGGTGGTGGTGGTGGTGTGGTTGTTTATGGTGGTTGTTGTGGTGTTGTGGTGGTTTGTGGTGGATGGTGGTGGTGGTGGTGGTGGAAGCGGTTGGTGGTGGTGGTGTAGTGGTTTGTGGTGGTCGTGGTTGTTATTGTGATAGATTGTGGTGGTCGTGGTGGTTGTGGCGGTGGTGGTGGTGGTGGTGTTGTGGTTTGTGGTGGTGTGGTAGTTTGTGGTGGTGGTGGTGTGGCTTTCGGGTCTTCCCGCCACCGTGTCTTGGCTTTGGGTCACAGTTCAAATGGATGCCTTTCGGGGTCTCGTCAGAGGGGTCTAGGGGGCGTTTGAGGGGCATGTGTGAGGGCTGCTGGGCGCCTCTGAGGCGTTTCCTGGAACTTCCGAAGGGCCCCCGGTGGCATTTGGGGAGCGACGGCTCGATATGGCGACTTGTATTTTCTCGCTGCGGCCTGGCTCTCTCTGGTCATCGTCGCTGTTTCCCCGCCGTTGGTGCTGCCGGCCGCCGCCAGCGCAGGCGCCAACACTGGCACGGGGGGGGGGTTCGAACCCCCCCCTCCGGAGAGCCGGAAGAGAAAATATTGGGGGCAGTTGGAATCTCCCACTTCCTCCCCGGGGGTAGGGAGGTTTGGACCCCCCCCCTTGGGAGGGGTGGGGGTTACGGAGGAGGGGAGTCCCCCTGGTTCTGGTCGACGGTGCCGAATGTTTGGGGCCACCCCCCTGGGTATGAAACGCGCCGCCGAATGTTCCCAAGGCAAGCGCTCGTGAGAAGCACTCTCTCGGCCCACGAGGTGCCCAACAGTGTCCCAACGGAGCCCAGTAGAGGGCTCCACGAGAGAGAGAGAGAGAACTCGAATTGAGATTTCGAGCCATCCCGCCCAAGGAGACCCCGAAATCGCCTTCAGGCCCCAAGAGACCCAAAAGAGGCCCCCAAGCGACCCCCAATATGCTTCAAAACCGAGGCTTCCCAGAGGCTTCCCAAGAAACCCGAACAGGCATCCAAGCGACCTCTGCATCACAACCCAAGCGCGGTGTCGGGATGGGCTGGATGCCAACAGGCCAGTATTGTGCTCTATGTAGATTCTCAAGTCTGGCGCCACGCGTTTCGGTGGTTCGATGCCCAAAGACCCTCCCTCGGCGCGTAAAAGTTTTGATTTTCGAAGAATTCAAAAGTCGTCTTCTCGCCCACGGCGGAGGCCAGCCGACGGCCCGCGGTAGCTAGCGGATGTAAGTCGAGGGCGATCTGGCTGGCGGAAGCCAGCGGGAGCTCGCCTGAAGCCCGCGGAAGCGACATTGGTTTTGTAAAAGATCTACGTTGAACACGGTGCTGTCTTCAGGCATGCAGAGCCAGCCGTATAAATATCGCACGGTGTGCACCAAACACTTGTCAAGCGTTCCAGGCCGGGTGGGGCAGCTTCAGCCCCCCACGGCGGTGCCGGCGCTCCATAACGATTTAGATGCCCTCCGAGACGGCCCAGATGGCTCAAGATGGCCTCAGAGATGCCTCCAACACAGCCAAGGAGCCCCCTATGACGCCCCATGACGCTCCAAACGGCCCCCAAGAAGCCTCCCAAGAGGGCCCCAGGATGCAAACATGGCCCCATTTCCTTCGGACAACGTATATATATATATATACACACACATTTTTACCATCTTCGCTTCTCGGGCTTTCACAGCGTCCAAGACGGCCCGAGAGGTCCTCAAGATCGTGCCAAGACTGCCTTAGAGGCTCCAACGAGGGCTCCAATGGCCTAAGAGGGCTCCAAGACGGCCGAAGAGGGCCCCAGGGCGCCTCAAGAAGGGGCCTAGATGGGGTCCCCGAACGGACATTTGAAGCTCTCCGCCCCTAGAGGACCCCAGGAGTCCCCAACAGGCCCCACAAAGTTCTCCAAGAGGCTCCAAGAGGTCCCCTAGAGATCCCAACGAGACTTTCAGAGGCCCCCAAGAAGCTCCCAGGAAACCCCACAGGCCCCCAAGAGCCCCACCATGTGGAGCTTCCTCGGTACCCTTTGGTGGTTTGAGAGAGCCCCAGGGGAAATCTGTGACACGGGCTTTGGAATTAAGGAACCCTCATAATCTCCTGCTACCGCCCACAAGGCCCCCAAGATGCCCCCCAAGAATTGTACGCGCCAGCTTGTCAAGGGCTCGGGCGTGCTAGAGCCTAAGCGCGCGCGAAGCGCGCGGGTGGTTCTAACATATGTATATGTATATGTATATGTATATGTATATGTATATGTAAAGGTATATGTAGATGTACACGTATCCATATGTAATTGTGCATGTATCTGTATATGTACATATATGTACATGCATATAAATACATGTATATGTATATGTATACGTATACGCATATGTATATGTATATGCATGTGCATATGTATATGCATATGTATAGGTATGTGTATATACGTATATGTATATGTATATGTATATGTATATGTCTATGTCTATGTCTACGTACATGTGTACATCTGTAGATGTATAAGTATAGGTATAGGTTTATGTATATGTATATGTCTTTGTCTATGTCTATTTATATGTATATGTATATGTATATCTCTCCATATATATATATATATATCTATGTCTATGTCTATGTCTATGTCTATGTCTATGTATATATATGTATTTCTACGCACATATAAATATATATACATCTATATTTTTATATATATATATATATATATTGCACAAATATCTGCACCACATAGAGTGCACACCATAACTTGCATTACATATATTACACCACATGTTTTGCCCCACATAGATTGCACAACATAGATAGCTAGCGACACTGGTTGGGATACAGGCAGGATTTCAGATGTTGATTCATCTTGCGCTTCTTTCTTCTTTTGCAAACCGATGGTCTTTGGAATTTCCGAATGGTAATCCCGCTGCAGCTTGGCCATCGTTTTTGGATGGGCATTCTGTCTCCGTCGTTCAAAACTGCGCTCTCGTTTCTGGAGCCGAGTTTGTTTTCTCGTTGTCGCCCCCTACTTCCCCTCTGACGTCTCCTGGCCCTCCTGCTCCTCCTGCTCCTTCCACTCCATCTGCTGCTGGTGTTCGTCCTCATCGTCCTGCTCCTCATCCTCCCCCTTCTTCATCCTCCTTTTCCTTGTGCTTATCTTTCTGCTCATCCGGCACCTCCTTCTCCTCCCCCCTCCTCCTGTGGTGCACGCAGCTCCCATCTTCCGAGCGCGACTTCGTGGGAGTTCCAGGTCCGCTATGATATGCGTCTGCGAATAGAGAAAACATCACCGCAATGGTAAGGGATCGGCGGGAGGGGTAGACTGTCAGATATGACGCGAGCGCACCTAGCTTGCCCTCCCCCCCTTTCTCCCCCCGCTCTTCCTGATCCTCTTCCTCCTCCTCGTCGCCCTTCCTCCCCTGCTCCTTCTCTTCCCTTGAGATCCGACGTGACAAAAAATACAACATCGTAGAATATCACGGCCACAGCCCCCAAGGACCCATCTTTCTGCGGCATGTTTCGAGCCAAATCGATCTGCGAGGGTCCCAAGGTCCAAAACCATGCGAAAACGCCCATTGTGAAAGAATTGCAACGCCAGGATCGAAGGGTCTCCCTCCTCCTCGCCGACCTAGTCCTTCCTCCTCGCTCGCGCCCATCAAAACGGCGCACCAGGCCCGGGCAGAAGGCGGAGAACATGTTCGGTTGCAGCATCACGTCGACCGCGAAGCTGTCGCAGGCCCGCGCCCAGCGGAGGAGGAGGAGGAGGAGGAGGTGGAGGAGGAAGAGGAGGAGGAGGAGGAGGAGGAGGTGGAGGAGGAGGAGGAGGAGGAGGATAGAGAGGAGGAGGATCCTGACCCAATACGCATCAACCCGTCTTCCAAGGGGGGGGGTCGAGATGAGGGGTGCCCCCTCCCCCATGAATTGCACGGGGGGCCGCAACCGACGACGGCGAGCACCGGCGCCAGCGCCAGCGCCGGCGCCGTCGGGCAGCCACGACGACGACGCCGATGACGACGACGATGATGCGGATGACGACGACTACGACGAAGACGACGATGACGAAGACGATGATGACGTCGAACGTCGAGGACGACATCTTGGACGACGACCAGGACGACGACGATGACCGCGACGACGAGGAGGACGACGACGAGGACGATCGATCTCCAGTAGCTGTCGATTGAAGCTGGATCGAGCCCCTGGTATTTTTTTCAGAGCTGGGTCGAGCCCGAGCAGGATTCAATTAGATGTGGATCTGGCTATGATTGGATTGTTTTAGAGCTCGATCGTGCACTATGAACCTCATACCTCTCGCTGTTTCTTTTGCTCGAGTAAGCGAGCGCGCGAGCGAGGGGACCGACACCGTCCTTCCCTCGCTCGTTCGCTCGCTTGCTTGCTTGCTCGAGCGAGCGAGCGAGCGAGCAAGCAAGCGAACACCATGCATTTTATATCCCGCCCGCTCGAACTGACCCTCCGTTTCAGTTTTTTTCGTTCCTTCTTCGAAGGCCAAAACAGCAGGTTCTCAGAGCCTGGCTTGCCATCTTCTGGCAATTTTGGTGTGTACGAAGGAGTCCCAGAATACAGCCAGAAACAGTGTATCTTTGCATTCAACAGGTGCGCGTGGTGTTTTCGCACAGTCGGAAACAGAGGTGTCGTTCGTGACAGCGTCGGCTTGCCCCGTGTGGTTGGTTGTGGCAGGTCCTGAAGAGGATAGCGAACCACACGCCGAAACGCAGGAGACGGAATTGACCAGGGGTGCCCGAAAGAGTGGGCATACCCAATCCTAGACCAGAAAGGAAACCAAAGGAAGTTTCGCACTCAACTGCTTCTCGGCGACCCTGGCGCGGCTTAGCCGTTGCCAGACGAGCCTGCAGCGGGTGTACACATAATGACTTGTATGTTGCATTAATATGGATATGCGTGGCGAATGATTAGTTGTCAGCCGAACGTCTCTCCAGGAACTCGTCTTCGGTGGTGCGGCGTTTTTTCCCAACAGTCGGAGATGTAGCAATGGTGGTTTTACCAAAAAGGGGCATCGCAGGTGCGGTCTGATTGTCCACGAGCGCCTAAAGCATGGGTCAGGTGGCTTACACCCCTGGGCCGTGGTTAGAGTCCGCTCAAGGAACAGGGGGCAGGCACCCGGCTTAGCAGCGGTTGCCGGCGGTGTCACGAAAGAGGGCAGTTGTGTCGTCCTTTCTTCGAAGGCCAAAACAGCAGGTTTTCAGAGCCTGGCCTGACATTTTCTTGGCAATTTTGGTGTGTACGAAGGGGTCCCAGAATACAGCCAGAAACAGTGTATCTTTGCATTCAAGAGGTGCGCGTGGTGTTTTCGCACAGTCGGAAACATATGTGTCGTTCGTGACAGCGTCGGCCTGCCCCGTGTGGGTCGGTTGTGGCAGGTCCTGAAGAGGATAGCCAACCACGCGCCGAAACGCAGGGGACGGACTGGGCCAGGGGTGCCCGAAAGAGTGGGCATACTCAGTCCTAGACCAGAAAAGGAGCCCATGGAAGTTGCGCAGTGAACTGCTACTCGGCGACCCTGGCGCGGCTGAGCCGTTGCCAGGCGAGCCTGAGGCGGGTGTGCAAAAAATGCCATGTTTGTTGAACTAATATGGATCTGCTTGGCGAATGATGGTTTCTTCAGTGGGCGACCAGGCGAGAGGATCCCCGCCTTCCTTCGCTCGAGCGAGCGAGCGAGCAAGCGAGCAAACGGGCGCCGTGCATTCAATGGCCCACCCGCCCGACCCGAACCGCTGGACTCGCGCGCTCGCGCGTTTGCTCGAGCGGGCGGGCGAGCGACCGAGCATGCGAGCGCCGTGCGTTTGATATCCCGCTCGCCCGACCCGACCCGCCCGACAGAGGGGGGATTGGATTGGAGTTGGACCAGGCCTGATTAGGATGCTCGTGCAATTTGATCCAATTTTAAGTGGAGTCCATTGTAGATCTGCGTCGAGTTTTAGTAGGGTGAAATTTGAGCTGCGTCAACATGTAGTAGGGTGCTATTCGGGTAAGATCGAGCCTGCGTAGGATTGTAGTAGCGGGAGGGGGGGTCGCCCCCCCTCAGTTCGAACCCCCTCCCTTGTGCGGGCGGGGGGGGGATCGGGTTCAAACTCCCTCCCCCTGGCAACTCGGGGGTTGGGTGGGGGGCCTTCGACCCCCCGTGGACAGGCCCCACCCCCTCCTGGGTCGAACCCCCTTCCCCCCTCTGGAGCTCCCCCCTATAAGGGAGGCCGACGTGCGGTGGGACCCCCCGCGTTCTTCTTGGGCGTCTGATTTTTTGTTGCTGCCCCCCCTCCCCCAGCGGCCAACGTGTCAAGGGATTTGTTCAGGGCAAGCGTCCACGAAGCGCGTGTCGGCCTGGTGATATGTCAAGGGGAAAAGAACGGTTTAAAGTAAACGTTTCCGCCGTCGGGGACGCCTGCCCCCCGGGCGGTTGCAACATTTATACCCCGACGTTACCACTTTAAGGGTAAAAACTTCCCAGCCACCCAGGGACAGACGCCCCCGACGACGGAACAGTTTTTTTTATACCGTTCTTCGCCCGCTAATGATGCCTGAGCACCGAACCGGTTATGCCTAGGCAGAGTATCGTTTAACCGACCCCCATCCCCATTCTCAGCCCTTTCGGGATCCCCACCATATTACCACCCCAGTTGGGGATAACACCCCTCGAAACTCGAAGGGAACTGCTTATAATATCCCCATCTAGGGGGGTAAATCGGCCAGTGGGGCCCAGGCTACGCCGCTGGGGATGGGCATCGATTGAACGATGTTCATAGGCAGATCTGCATGGCAGGGCTGGGCGCCGATGGCTCGAGGCAGCAGAGCCGGTGGGATGTGCCAGCGCACTCCCCTGGACCAGCCTTGTGCTGCTCCAACGTATTTTAGCCTTGACCACCAGGAAGAATTTCGAGCGCCCAAGAAGCACCGAAGCTCAAGGGTTTTCACTTTTCACTTGTCGGGCCCTGGGGAGACACTCGCCCGACACTGTTCCGACACTGTTTCGACACACGCGCTCTTTTGACACTTTTTCCGGGTGCTCGAAATTATCTCTGGGATGCGGTCCTGAAGTAGGATGGGGACCACATGAAACCAGCTTCCCGCCCAGAGCACTTTTTGCGCGGCCTCCTGGGGGCACGGCGAGGGCCCCCCCCGCGGCCGAGACGGGCCCCAGGCACCTTCTTTTTCCGCGACCCTCTCGCGGCGCGAGAGGGTCTGGGGCACGGCGCCCGGCTCGCGGCCGACCGACGGCGACGATCACCACCCACCAAACCACCCCAACCCAACCCGAAGGCTCAGATTTACCCTCGATTTCTAGTAGGGGGGGGTCCGGGAACATCGAAAAAACACATGTGGAGCCCATACCCCCCCCAACCCGAAATTCGGGTCTTCGGGTTGGGTTGGGGTGGTCTGGTAGGTAGTCAGACGAGCGCCCCACCCGTGCCGTGCGCGCCCCCGGGCGAGAGGAGCTCTCGTCCAGCCGCGCCGCCAGCAAGAACTCCAGTGCGGGCGCGG